TGCATCATAATCCTGCACATGCTAAACTTAACTTAAAAAACTAAACTTATTTAATCTAAATATGTTATACTTTGTAGTTGTTACACTACTCTGTTTACCTTGCTATTTAGCTCAAATATATGAGGGGTAAAAAAATGTCATCTAATAAATAGGCTAATTAAAGTGATTTATTATTATTTTGGATTATAGTTTAAAACATGTAAGAACTCATATTTTAGATAATTAATTCTCATTATTGGAATGTCTGGATCTGGGACAAGGGTAATAGTAATAATAATAATAATAATAATTCAATCTATATAAGTCTTTTGAAAAGTAGCCTTCATTCATCAAAACAGATGATGATGGCATGATAAAAAGATTTTGTCTGCCATGTAACGATTTATCACAGGCTTTTGTGACTTACATCAAAAGTTAACTGGTTCCCATGATTGATAGCTTAAAATAATATTCATATATAGCTCTTCAACATTATTTTATTTAAATTATAATTGTTTAGAAAATAGTTGATTTTTCTTTTGGTAAAGTAAGGTTACAAGTTCCCTCACCTCGATATGTTCGATTAATTTTAATATCTTGATAGACTCAATGAAAATCAGAGGGCAAACTTTTATATATCTTACAATTATTGGCAGTATTATGACTGAAATTAACCCATCCAACCATGGTCTCCCACTATCACTGAATGAAAATGTCTTGAGTAGGATGAAAATTCTTCATTTTAAAATTCTATTGCAATGTAGTGGTTTATGTAGTGGTTGCTGGCTGTCTTTTTAAAGAATGGCACACACTGAAAACATGCTGCCCTCTGTTGGCTACAAATAGACACAGATCAGCCTTACCTTCCTTAGAGGAATGCCACTAAGACACCAATAGTTACATAGTTTGAAGCTTTCTAATAACGGGAAAATACACAGCTGAAACACTAGATATGCACGTAAAATGCACTTGAGAGGCTTCTGGGGCAAATCATGTTAAGGTTATAAAAAAGCAATGTGTGATGTTAGTTTGTGGTAGGCCTAATGTGTATATGGGGCACACAATAGATTAAAATGTAGGCTAAATCTAAAAATGCTTTGTTTAAAAGAATGGTAATAACATGGTTTATGTGAGGGGCTAAGCCAAATCAGTATTATTTATTAATGTATTTCATAATTTACCGTTTCTGCATCTGTTGCATGGCTGATCAGGTTGTGCCCACTTCTAGCTAAAGACACACAAATTACACTCATATCTATAAACAAACAGCTGACATTTCAACGTCAAGGAATTCAATGAAATTAAAATGATTTTATTAAACGCCAAAAGTCCCTTTTCAGTGCGCGTGGGTTCAATATAAACAGCCCCCGCGAGCTTACGGGACGTCCGTCACATCTCACGCGCGCTGCCTGCAGGTGCGCGGAATCCTGCGAGTGTCTGTGGCGAAAGCTCCGCCCCTGTCAATGCAAACAATTGAAGAAAACTCGCGATCGAAAGCTGAACTACGTTACTGACACATTTCAAAACTCGAAAGCTCTGAAAGAGGGCAGCACGCGCTCCTGTACTTTCTGCAGTAGGCATATGTCTTTTTCAACTCAGACTTCCCTGAATTTTTTGTTATTTGTTTAATTTGTTTGATTTATTTTGCATTTAATGTGGTAATGAAAAAAGATATACGTTTCTGTTTTCAGATGTGTTCAGATGAAGAGCGCTCGATGGCGGGGGGCTCCGGTAACGGAAAGTTGCGTCGGTGGCTGATAGAGCAGGTGGACACCGGAAAATACCCTGGACTCGTGTGGGAGAACGATGAGAAGAGTATCTTTCGGATTCCGTGGAAGCACGCGGGCAAGCAGGACTACAACAGGGAGGAGGATGCTGCGCTCTTCAAGGTACAGTCAGGATGAGTGTTGAGGGGAAGAGAAACAGACACATGCCGCGTCAGTAAAGCATTATTTCTCCCATGTGATCTTACTAATATTTCAGATTTCAATACATGGTCTATTTACGTGACGTTCATTTGTGTTATTAAAATGCATTCAAATGCAGTTGTTAGACAACACATATGTTTTTACCATATTTAAATTGTTTTGTTTATATATATATATATATATAT